CTGTGATCTGAAATTGACAGAGGCAGGTGGCTGCCAGATCGGCACTACTTTGGGAAATGGATGCGTTTCTCCTTTACGAGCTCTCCGGCTCTCCGTGGGAAGGAAAAGGAGAGGGGAGGGTGAACGCTGACAGACAACAGCAGGGGGATTCTGTGCTCAGCATCTCGTCCGGGTGCTAGACCCAAGCTGCAAGATTTATAATCTTCCTGTTACAATGCATCCGTTCCACCCTGTCAGTGAAGTCTTCAATAACTTGGATGACATCTTGCTGAGGGGTTTTGTCATTAAAAGCCTAAAGCTGGTCATTAACAAACCTTCTCTGCAATCATGTACCGCTGTGCTAACTCAGGCATGGACCTGACTGGAAAGTTGGGCTGGCTCGGAAACTTTCCAGAAGGCTGCACTTTTTTTTTTCTTCTGTGTGGGCTATATTTCTTTAGGGAAAGAAAACACAGTTCCCAATCATTGAATCATTTCTTTCTCATTATCCATTGACCAACTCTTCTCTGAGAGACACAACCAAATTCAACAAATATGTGTAGAACACCCACTATATGACAGGAGTGATACTCAGGGCTGAAGATATAATTATGAAAAAGAGACAGCTCCAGCTCTGAGAGGGTTTACAAGGCCTCCTTTCTCCACTACACACACACACACACACACACACACACACACACACACACACACACACACTAATGAACTAGCATTTACAGAATACTTCGTAACGTGCCAGTATTTAAACTTTATAAACATTGTCTTGTTCATTTTTCACCACTCTTTAGAAGATAGATGTTCTTCTTTTCCCCTTTTCAAAGACTAGATGGCTAAAGTGTTGTATTGTCTGTTTAGGAATTTTCCCAAAATTAGTGAGCTTGTAAGTAAATGTCAGAACCAGGTTTAAAACCCATGTCCTATCTGACTTCCAGCAAGTTCATGTGCTCCATGAACTTGGGCCAGGAAGTGGGCAAAGACCATGGAAGTCCAAACTGAGGAAAGACCACGAGCCAAGTCAAAGGTGTAAACACAGGGAGGGCTGAGCACAGGCTTGAATCCCCTCTCGGGAGAAGCTTGGTCATGGGTGGGGTAGTGCCAACTGGGAATAACCTCCCTGGGCTTTGCACACTTCCTCGCCTCCCAGCAACATTCCAATTATCGAAGAGTTCGTTTGTGTGTGTGTACATATGAACTTAAACTGTTGGCTCTGGAGCAGCAAGGAGTGATATCCACTTTATGAATTTAATGAAGATGCATATGGGGCCAGCGGAATGGCTCATTGGTTAAGAGTTGCCTTGGGAGTGCGAGCTTTGAGCAGCAGGGTACCGGTTTGGATCCCACATGGGCCAGTGATGCTGCGCCCTCTACAGCTAAGATGGTGAACAACAGCTTGACCTGGAGCTGGGCTGCCATGAGTTGCCAGCGTAGGCATAGGCTGCAGTGGGGCTGCAGTGGGCTGCAATAAGCTACCACTATGAGTGGCTGGCAGCTGGCGTGAGCTGCCGTGAGCGGCCGTCCAGGGCCCAGCGACCGATTTGCCTCACCCAGGATGAGAGCAATGATAATACCAACATAGGCCAGTGAAGCGACGTCATCCGCAGCTAGACTGAAGAACAAAAGGACAGCAACTTGTCTGTTCCCCTTCCCCGATTGCCCAACGCTATTCCCTCCCCCAATTCCCCAATAAAATCTTAAAAAAAAAATGCATATGATGTGAGAAACGCTTGCCTATTTGAAGATCACTGCTTCCTGAACTTCTCCAAAAATTCATGGGGCAGAGCAATTCCAGCTACCCCGTTGTTGGACAGTTGTTTCTGCTGTCAATGATTTGATTTTTCACCTAACCTGGAACCTCTCTGGTGGAAATAATGAATGAAGGGAGGTGGTTGCTGTTTCTCCTTCACAGAATTCCACCATAAATAGCCAGAGGGCCAATGTTCCAACACTCATTCACAGCTTCCCCAGAAAGAATGACAGAGAAACATGTAGACATAGGGGAATATTCTGCTACAACTTAAAGACATGGGGAGGGGGCAGGGGAGATGTTAAAAAAACATTTGGGTATAACATTTTTAAAATAACAAGGAAAATAACTTGAGGTGATATACACAGAGGGTGCCCAAAAAATGTATACACATTTTAAGAAAGGAAAAACTTTAAAATTGTAATGCTCAATATATACCGATGACAAAAGATGAATACAAGTCATGTGTATATATATATATATTTTTTTTTGGCACCCCTGGTATATTGTTAAGAGTGTACATTTTGTAATAATAATTATTACCATTGGTTGAAGGCCTACTATGTGTCAGGCAATTGCTGGGGGCCAGGGGGGATTACACAATAGCTCACTAAATGAAATCTTTACAACTACCCTATCAGGGAAAGTGTTATCCCATTTTTATACACGAACAAACTAAGACTTTGGGAGGTTTTAACAATTTGCCAAATGCGTCTCATTGAATATTTTGCAGAGCTGGAATGCAAACCTAGTTATATGCTATTGCAAGTTTTTGGTGTCTTCACTGTGTTGCTGTACTCTTATGTATAGCTACGTTCATTAAAACACAACCTATTTAAGCATTCAAATAATGCAATAATTAAAAAGACATTAGCAATATTATTCCCCTTTTTGTCCTCTTAAAATGATGCTTTCCTCCTTTTTTTCTCCTTTCCCAAAATAAAACAGAAACATTAGCTTACTTTTTATTGCTCAATTAATTGCTATGGGATTTTGCCCGAAGAGATCAGTAAGACCTCTTACTGATCAAAGGTGGAGGCCATTGATCCAACTCGAGTGGCATTATGTGCCCGCCCATATGCGTGATGTCGGAGGGAAGGCTTTGTTCATGAGAGTCACAAAGCCATCATCCATTTGAATTCCTGGGTTCTGGCAGGCTCTCACCTGCAGCGTTTCCCACGACGGTCTTCCTTGGCCTGTTATTATTTTTAATTGCTCATGGGGTGCTTTTTACTAGTAAAGTTCTCTCCAATCAAGGTCATTAGTGCTACTTCGGAGAAGTCTCAGGAAATCAATTAGTAACTACAGCTCTACTCCTGTCATGAGAGGCAAGATATGGGATGTCTGAGCTTTGCCCAAGGTCATAGGGTCTGTCAGCTCTTGCAGAGGTCGCATGAGGCACTGCCAAAGGGTCTATTATACGTGAGCCCAGAGGACCAAAGCTGAGGAAAAGGTTTTGTGTGGTAGGACAAGCAAGCACCCAGAGTCAGGAAGCTCTGGACTCACATATCTCATCAACCACCTAAATAGCAGTAATAACAGTAAGGCACACACTCCACCTTGTTCCAGGAAACATTACTTAGTAACTCTGTGGTCATGAGCAAGTGACTCAACCTCTTTGAAACTCAGTTTTCTCACCTGTAAAATAGGAGCAATGACCTCGTGTGACAGTTTTGAAAATGAAATGAGAGGTATCAACTAAGAGTCTTTGTGTCCCAAGTGATAGAAAACCAGTCAGAGCCAGGCGAAGCAGAAAGAGCACCTAATTATAAGTAAAAGTGCTATCTCCCAAAAACATGCGTGTAGCTGGGCCTGAGGAAAAACTGAAACTAGAGGCTCAAGTGCCATCCGGATGCTCTCCCCATTTCTTGTCACCACTTCTCTGATACACCAGCAGCTCCCCTTCTCACTACTCTTAAGCTGACAGGGCAGGACACAACCACCAATGGCCCCCAAATTTGCATCCCCCCGCCAACCCAGGCTAAGAGACAAACAAACTGATTGGTCCCAAGTTCTAAATCCCAAGGAAGATCTGGTATTGGCCTAGCTCATGTCATGTGCCTACATCTAAACCAATCAATTATCTGTTGACAAGGAGCAATATTTTATTCTACTTCCGTGGCTGTCCTGTGGTAAGCCTGAGAATAGGGGGAGGTGGGTATTTTGTAGGAGAAAGAGGATTAGCTACTAGAAAAGAGAATTTCACCGCAAGTGACATAGTTGGTGTACACTGCAATAATATATGCATGAAAAATAGCTACCACTATACCCAGTCAAGAGTAGATACACTATGTATGGGGTTTTTGTGTGTGTCAAGATGTAGATTTCTGCACATTTTAAAAGGCTACATTTTTTAAAGCAAAACAAATACAGTATAATGTTAATTATAATGAATATGGGCCATCTAATGTTAAGAATCTGAAGAGATCATAGTTTAAGGGCCTTTGAAATAGAATGATGGGAGAAAAGTGTGTCTATCATGGTAAAAAAAAAAAAGAAAGAAAGAAAGAAAAAAAATTGAAAGTCTCATTTTGCTTGCATTTTGTTGTTGTATGACTCCTGTATAGGGAGGAGAAATTACATTTACAAAGCAACAGTATTCCAAGTGGTAGCTAAAAGGGGAGAATTAACTGGTATAGAAATGTGTATTACCAGTTAAAGATTATTCCTTCACATTTGTTTTCAAATATGAAAGTAATTTCATGGAGAAAAAAGAGTTACCAGAATAATAATAATGTCTTGACACAAAACTCACCAATTCTATAGGACAAAGAAAAAAATTCTAACTGGGCTGCTTGGTTACAGCTTAAATTAAACATACATTGATCAAAGACTCATGCCACTTTAAAGTTTATTATACAACTGCTTAATTTTTGTCCTTTAGAAATTCTATCAATTCATTTCTTGGTAGTTAGGATAGTAAAATATGCAAATAAGCATGCTATAGTCAGTCAGTGCTCATATTTTTGTAATAACTAATGTTCTGTCCCAACAGCCACCACTCCCCCTATTCATGTCACCTTCACTTAGGAGTCACAAAATGCCGAAGACAGTGGCTTTTTACTTGATTAAATTTCAGGAGGTTGAAGCTAGCCCCCAATCTTTACCTTCCTTTTTCCTAAATATGTCTTCTCCTCTCTTAATTACATGGCTTTACACTGATTTACATGAATTTCAGCGTTCAAACTCATTGGTCTTTGCTGAATGCAAATAAGCACATATGTTTGCACAATTGATCTTTCATCATTTCAAATGGTACCTTTGAACAGTTCCTGAAATGTCTGTCTGAAATACTCCCAGCGCTGAGTGTCATCAAGAGATGCAGGGTCAACCTGGGGAAACCCATTCTCAGTAATGTAAATTACAGGGTTATTATACGTATCCTGGAACGAGAGAGCACAAGTTTTATTCCAAACAGATGTTAAAAAAAACCCTCATAAAATAGGCGCATTACCCTCTATCTTCTCTAAGCTACAACCCAAAACTAGTTTTCATCCAATTGCACTGACCCCATTAACTGAATTTTCCACGCGCTGACCTTTTATGACTAACAATGGAAAAGCAAAGCTGTGCAAATGTCCATGAAGACAGTCAAATGACTCTATGATAATGAGAAGACAGAAATATCTTTCTTCCAGCAGCATCTACTGATTGTCACTGCTCCTTATCCCTTTGGTCCCGCCAACAGCTCCACTCTCTGTCCCCCCAACAGGAGGGGTCCTGAAAACTGAGAACTTGAAATTTTAATTTCAGCTAGCTGGATGCCATCCAGCAAGACAGAAACCCAAGAAGGATCCAGCTATTTCAACCTTTAAGATGCCTTTTAATAATCACAGTCATGACATCAGCCTGAAAAATGCCCAAGCAATTCCTACAGCCACAGATGACTTGAACAGTGAATCCTGCCTTGACCATGGTTTTGAAGCCCTTCATCAGCTAGTTACCCCTCACCAGTTTACACCCCAATCTTCTCTTCCCAGGCCAACAAAAGTATCTGCTATTTCAGGTTCTAATACGCACATACATACTCCTGTCTTCCCACCTTCACATATGTGGGCATACATGGACATGGACACAGACCAATGTGCAGGTAAAAGATAAAACACCTTTACCTTAATGTAGTTCAGTAGTTTACGTATTCCCCATGGCACCACACAGACCCAATCCAAACTTATCCAAGATGGGTCTTTGTTAATTTCAATCTCCACATCCTGGGTAAGACCCAGTTCTCCTTTATCATTCTCCCGGTGCTTGACTAAGCGAGTTGAATAATACTGCACAGCAAAGAAATCAGCTGTGCCTTTGATCATTCTCTTCTCTTCCTCTGTGAATTCTGGAAGTCTTGATGACGGATAGCCTTGCTTTTTACTCATGGAGGCAACCTGGGACTTGACAACTTCAGGATAATCGCCATCAACAAATATGGGTTTTGCAAAGATATCCAATTCGAAAGCCATGGCCCTTTTAGCTGCTTCCCGGTCAGAGGCTGAGTTGGGGTCTGCTGGCTCCACCCAGGCAGCAAAAAGTGCGAGGGACACCATCCCTTTCTGCTCTTTTCGGAATAAGGAATCATAGCTATGCCAGGCTCTGGCATGGGCCTTAATCAAATTCCGAGCTGCCTGATAGCCTCCAGTGCCACGGAGAGGTACACCAGGAGGAAACAAACCAATGTCATAGGAGAGCAGGGCAGCTACGTTAGGCTCATTTATGGTGATCCACTGTTTGACTCTATCCCCAAATGTACTGAAGCAAAACTGGGCATATTTATCAAAGACTTCGATGATTGCCTCTGACAACCAACCTCCTCGGTCCTCCAAGGCCTGAGGCAAATCGAAGTGGTAGAGCGTCACTATGGGCGTAACTCCATTTGTTAACAAGTTATCAATGATCTTGTTGTAATAGTCAATTCCTAGGAAAAGAGAACAAGAAGATACAAGAAGAAAAGTTATTTTCAGTATGTTGGCGGTAACTTTTAAAAGGGAGAGGATCAGGCATAAGTTTCTAAATAACTTTTATTCCCAATAAAGCTTATCACTTCCTACATATAATCAATTAAAGGCTGGGAGGAAACATGAAGGCTTCCAAGGAAGGCTGGCTCTTCAGGGAGTGGGAGTGTGAAAGGGTGACACGACTGAAAGGGATGCGTTTGGGCAAGTGGCTAGCACATAGCTTTGTGCTATTGCTACACACTGAAGTTTATTTACTTGTTTGTATATGTGACTTGTCTCTTAAGTGCACTAGAACACCAAGCCCTTGATAGCAGAAGCTTTGTCTATCTAGTTTACCTCTAGATTTCCCAAATCCTGGAACAGTACCGGAAATTTAGTAGATAGTCAATAAATATTTATTGAGTGAATAAATAAATCTCAATGGTATTAAATATAATGTAAAGGATTAAAACCAAATACCTGCCTTCATGCTTCTCAGATGCTTTCAGTCTCAGAAAGTCCAGAAAAAAATAAAACCATTGAGCATGAACAAGAACTCAGCATCTGCCCCAGGATGTGGGCTCCATTGGGGTTAGGACATTAAGGAATACCAGGCTGGGGGGTCTGCTCCAAATTTCTGACACAGTCCCTGGGAATACTCTTGGCTCTGGCTTTTGACTGGTTCTCCCAGCACTGCATGTGGCGAGAGAGAGCTGATAGGACTGTGGCCCAGTTCAAAAGGATGTTATTAAGTTGGTGATGCTATAACTCAATGCCAGGAAGGTGTTGGATCCAACCTATTGATGATCCTTAACTTGGAAGAGGCTTTCTGGGGAGAGGCTGATATTAGTGCTTCATGTCATCTGCTGTCTAAGACTAAGGAGGCAGCCTAAGCTTAGAAGAGAGAAGCTGTCCTCTCTTTTGAAAACTTGTTTCCCAGGTAATAATTATAATTTCATATGGGGAATTGTGTTGCATTCAAAGTTTGACTAAGTTTTTTGTACTAAAACTTAGTATCCTCCAATTAAAAAAATAATAAATCAGACTTTTTTATGTGTTTCATTCAGTCAACCATTCATTTATTCATTCCTTAAATGCACATTTATAGAGAAGCTACTATATGTTGGAGTTACAATCGTAAGTAAGATAAACGCTGTCTTTATACTCAGGGAGCTTAAAATTTAGTGAGGACTCCAGATAATTTCATAAACAATTACATTACAGTATTACTCATAAAGTACAGAATGCTATTTAAGCCTATGGTAAGAAATACCCATCACAAACCTAGGGCATTTGAAAATTTTTTCTGAAAGCAGTGTACCATAATGGCTGCAAAAGTAAACTATGGTGCCAAGCTACCTAAATTCTATCCTAACTCCTTCACTACTGTCTCAATGACCTTGGGCAAGTTACTTTATCTTCCTGAGCTATCTTTCCCCTTCTGTAAAATGCGGACAACGATAGAAAACGACTTCAATCATTGTTATGAGAGTTTAATGAGTTGATAAATTGAACATGCTTAGAACAGTTCTTGGCATAAGGTAAGGGCTTAGTATAGGTTAGCTTTCGTTCTAATAATAATTATTACTGCTATTGTTGTCAGTGACATCTAGGCTGCTACTTAAAAGATGAATGTGCAGTACATGACCCACAGAAGGCAGAGAGGAAAGAGTGATCCAGGAAGAGAAAAATGGAAAGCAAACATGCAAACGACCAAAAGAAGTGTGAAACTAAAAAGACCACCCGAATGTGAACAGAGCTTGGTACAAGCAAGGGAATCAGCCATGATCACTTGCATTCAGCAGATACTCAAAGCCTTTCTCTGAGGGAAACTTTTAGCATGAAAAAAAAAAAGGAGGGCCCTTCAGGGATGGTCTAATTAGAGGTTGCTGGCACAGGGCAGAAGGGGGGCATCCTGTGCAGTTGGTTTGGGAAACATACTTGGCTTTCTCTGATTGGTTCCGAGTTGGAAGCTTGGGGCAGGGGAATCAAAAACCTGAGAAGCTGGCAGTTGTTGCCCAAGCTCTGATGATTAGGGGTGATTGCTGTAGAGGATACGGTTTGACTTCCTGGGCTTCTGATGTGGATTGGAGCTTTATTGTCATCTACGGCCTGGCTATTGCTCGTTTGAATATTTATTTTCTTCCCAGAGTATGGATTTTTCTGGGAACTGGAAGTTCACTATAAGGGGAGCGTATAGCTCAGCAGAAGAGGAATAAGAATGGTGAGAGGTGATCAGGGTAGGCAGACGCCAAATTATGCAAGGTCATATGCTGTCTGCCCATCTGTCTATTTTTTTTTTTTTTCTGAGCCATCCTGCTACCTGTTGGCAGCTCAGCGGCTGCTCAGCTCAGGCTGGACTCGAACCACTGTTGCTCAGAGCTCAAACTCTTGAGCGAGCTCTTAACCAACTGAGCCACTCGGCCGGCCCTGCCCATCTGTCTATTGAAGTGGATATTTTTAACATTAGTTCACTTAGCTTTGCAAACTGAAACATAATATGCATCCTGTATAACAGCAGCTCCATACATGGAAAACCCACTTGAATGCATTACTCACATGGTAGACAGAACACGCATCCTCCCCCCTTGCCCCAAAAGATGCACATTCCCTGACCCACGGAGTGTGTGAATATGTTACATGGCAAAAGGGGCTCTGCAGATGTGGCTAAGGAGCTTGAGTTGGGAAGATGGGTCTAGACTGTGCAGTTGGGCCTGATCTAACCACAAGAGTCCTTGGAAGTGAAAGAGGATGGCCGAAGGGTGGGTGAGAAAGATGTGACAGCCGAAGAAGAAACAGGAGAGACGACAGCAGGAGAGAGACTCGACCCATTATTGCTGACTTTGAAGATGGAGGAAGGGAGCCATGAGCCGAGAAACGCAGGTGCCTCTAGCAGTGACAAATGGTCCTCAGCTGACACCATCAAGGAAATGATGAAGACTTCAGGGCTAGGACCACAAGAAACTGAGTTCTGGGCCAGCTGAGTGGCGTGATGGTTATGAACTGGCTTGGGACGCCAGAGGGCCTCGGTTCGGATCCCACACATGAGGGCCAGTGACACTGCCCTCTACAGCTAAGATGCTGAACAGCAGCTCAACCTGGAGCTGAGCTGCTGTGAGTCACCGGCGACGGCGTAGGCTGCAGCCCCTGTGGCAGTGGGTTGCCATGGGCTACCGTGTGTAGCCAGCAGCCAGTGTGAGCAGCCAGCAGCTGCAATGAGTGGCCGTCCAGAAGCCGGCGACTGATCTGCCTTGCCCGGGAAGAGCGCAATGATGGTGCCAATTTGGGCCAGTGAAGCGACATCCTCCACAACTAGACTGAAGAACAAAACAACAACTTGTCTGTTCCCCTTATCCCGATTCCCCAATGAAATCTTTGAAAAAAAAAAGAAACTGAGTTCTGCTAACAATCTGAATGAGCCAAGAAACAGACGGCCTCTGGATCCTAGGGAATGCAATGCAGCCCTGAAGCCACTGGGTTTTAGCCTGGCGAGGCCTCTGTCAGGCTTCTGACCTATATAACTCTTAAGGCAATACATTTGTTTTGTTTTAAGCAGGCAAGCTTGTGATAACGTGTTATAACAGCAGGAGAAAACGAATGCACTCTGCAAAATTTCTAAAGCTTTTTTTTCTCTCTCAATGAGAGAGCATTCCATCATCCTATCTCTGGGCCTCTCTGTAAACCCACATGTCTTTCATTTGTAAAATAGGATGTCAAAGGTGGTATAATGAAATCATTTGTGTATTCGTATGTGTTAAGGTTCTCATAGCAAATTCCTTCCATTGTCTTTGAATGTAAAAATAGCATCAGCTTTCAGACTTTAGCCCAAGAAGTGGGTATTTTTACCCTCAGTAAACATGAGAAAACTGAGACACAGAGAAAGTGAGTACCAGACATAAACTGCCAATGTTGCCATACGGCACAGCCAACAGTGAAACACAATTTGTCTCACTGCTGAGACTGAGCCATTCACACAATGACATTCTATTATACTTCTCCCATGTACGAATGTTTCAGAGCCAGGGTAAAACAGGGAGTCTGTTTTACTAGCCTTAACAATCATCTCTTAATACTTTGAAGCTGATTTATAACATCAGGTTTTTCTTTTCTTTTCTTTTCTTTTTTTTTTGGAGGAATCAATGATTTATCTCTTGTAAGTATCATTATATATGGCACAATCATTAATGATGGCAATCAGTGTAATTCAAACAACATGATAATCCTCAGTTGAACTGAAGATGAAAAAATTTTTAAGTAACTTTTTTTCTCACTCATCAGCATGGCAGAGCAACAAAGCACTGCATAATTATTCATAATATTTAACATCCCAGAATGGAGCTCTTTACTTCTGGATTGTACAATTTATTTGGTATTGTAATGAAACTTTCCCATGAGGCAGTGGGCTGAGGTTTGTAAGAGCAGAGCTCCAGTGTCAGGCAATTCAGTCCACGGATCACGGACAAATCGCTGGGCCCCTCTATGCCCAAGTTTCTTTACCTCCAAAAAAGGGAGATAAATAGTGCCACCTCCTGAGTGTTGTACATGTTAAGTATCAAATGAGAACCAACCAAAGCGTTCTTTAGTTTTATCAGACTGGTACAATTCAGGGTACCTAATTCTCTGCATAAATCTTTATTTTTAAATGATCATCTATTACCAGTCAAGGGATCTTGAAATTTAGATCTCATTTGGACCCATATTTCAAATATCATCTGGATACTTGAAAAGGATAAAATATTTTAAGTATTGAAACTTTCATAGCTTTTTTTCATTGTGATGATCAGTTTCCATTTTAATGAAGCCTCTTTCTTTTTCTCTGATCTTTGAAAATATGAAGCATATTTGAGTTAAAGGTTTTTTTGGATATAAAAAACCAAACCCACTCAGATTAACTCAAATATAAATGTGGCATTAGGGACAGTGGCTGGTTGATATGGGGTGCAGTGGGCATGATTTGAAATGATAGAGAGATATTATATGC